AAGAGCTCAGAGATTATTTCCCACAAGTCAGACATGGACCAGTCCTGAAGGCAGAACTTTCTTGGGACTAATATGTAGGCAACCCAGGTTTGCTGTGTTAGCTCTTGCACAATTCCCTAAAGCTATGCTTCCTTATATTCCATCATCCATCATTACCTGAGCCAGAAATCAGCCTAAATTACTTCACTAACCCCAACATCCAATCTGATTCCCTCTCCAAACCCCTCCCCTCTCAATCACTTCTCACTTGGATCTCTGCAACCTGTTCTCATCCCCATTTTGCTTTCCCTGCAGCAGTTCTCCATATTGCTTCCATCTGGGAATTAGAATTGTGATAAATGCTATGGCAGAATCTTGCACAATTAAGACAGTTGTAACACATGCTTTAGTGAGAAATGCTCCTGGTGTTTTGACAGCAGACAAGGGACAGACTTCTTGTGTAACATTTGTGCTAAGTCTTCAGGGTAAATGCAAGATCCCTTGTGCTTGAGATCCTTGTATCCTGGCCCCTAATTGACCCTCCCATTGGTCTTGGTGGAGCAGAGCCTTTTGTGGTTTCTTGAAATCCTATAGTTCCACATCCCTGACCTTGACCTGTTCTATTTCCTTTACCTAGAATGTCTATACTTCAATATTTAGCTCAAGCATCCTCTTGTCCCTTTGACCCTAGACTAAGAGCTGCGCCCCCTGCTTTGCTCTTCAGAGCATTCTAAGACCTCTATTGTGGGGCTGTCTAACTGCCTCAAACTGTTTACTTGTTTTCCCAGGCCATGTTGCCTTCCATGCTAAAGTCCAGACATCTAGCTTTGCAATTCATATAGGTACTCAATAAACATTTGCTGAATGAATTAAAAACAAGATCATTAGTTTAAGTCTGAGAGCAGAGAGGTGATAGCTTGCTTATATAATCAGAGAAAACATTAAAAATTTAAGAATAGCTAGGAAGGTATTAAAGAAAATGATATTTATCCAGTCACGGGGTGAATGTCCCATGAAATAATTTTAGTTATTCCTGTGTTCAAATGCCAAGTTCCACTGTGTGTTAACTGTGTGATGCCAAGCATTTTTCTTTACCTCTTCATGCTTTAGTTTCTCATCTGGAAGGTGAATATAATAATAGCTCCTGCCTAAAAAGACACTTCTCCAAAGAGGAAATGCAAATGGTCAACAGGTATATGAAAAAATGTTCAACATCATTTATAATTAGGGAAATGCAAATCAAAACCACAATAAGATAACCACCTTACACCAGTAAGACTGGCCCATTAAAAAAAAAACAACAAACTGCCAACAATTATTGCTGACAAGCGTGTGGAGAAAAAGGAACACTCTTACACTGCTTGTGGGAATGCAAAATGGTCCAACCACTATGAAAAGCTGTGTGGAGGACCCTCAACCACTAAAAATGAAGCTACCATATGACCCAGTAATTCCACTCCTAGGAAAGGGATTATGTTCCGTGAAATAAGTCAGAAGGAAAAAGAAAAATATCAGATGGTTTCACTTATAGGAGGAATATAGGGGAACCAAATAAGGGATCAGGGAAAATAACAAAAATAAATATCAAGCAAACTATATATCAGAGATATTTAGCAGGAGAGGTGGAGGGAGAGGGATCATAAGAGGGGAAGGAAGAGCACAAGAAACTATGGTGATGGTGCATGGGTGACTTGGTGGTGGTAACTTCATGGGGATTATACCTGAGAGGAGAAATTAAACATTGTACAAATATGAACAATGATGTAAAAAAAAAAAAAGGATATATATATAGATATATATATATATACATTTTTTAAAAAGTATATTTTAAGTGCTTAACACCAAAAACAAATGAATGAAAAAATAAAATAAAATAAAATAAAATAAAATAAAATAAAATAAAATAGCTTCTGCTTAGAGGCCTCTTGGGATAAGTTAAATGCTTATTAAGTCTTGGAGTGTACCTGACACAGAACATAGGCTCATGTGTTTTGAGCAGACATTTAAAACTTGAAAGATTTTTGTTCCCCAAAATAAGTTTGTTAAAGATGTGTAGACTAAGGAAAGTTGGCATGGAATTTTGGGAGGCCATCTTGCAGTCAGTGTATCAGTGGGGAATCAAAAGGCTGCTGTTTCCCAGTGTGCACAATTACCTCACAATGACTACATAGTACAAGATGGAGATGCTTCTCACACACCTGGTAAACTGAGGCAGTAGTAGCTACTAGAGAGATCTGTTTTCTGTATTCTTACCCAGCTCAGTTTAGCTGGGGGCAGTTTTCTGCCTTCTCTTTGTGTTTCTCACACAGAATCACACAAAAGCAAATGCAAATTTTGGATTAAGCTCAAATCGTTCCCTAATACATCAAGCCCTTGGGGCAAATTTGGTTTTGTTTTGTCCCTAAAACATGTTATTGAACTGGCTATATAATAAGATAGATTGCAACTTGATTCTGTCTTTTAAAAATCCTATCTGAGGAACAAACTAAAGAAAGTTTTTTTTAGGGGGGCCGGGGAAGGGGATGGTGGTGGATTTGGGTTCAACAATCAAAGCTCTGGCGTTCTGGTTACTTAGAGATGGTTTTCAGCCATGGCTATGACCAGGGTGGTTACTCACCTCACTTCACACTTTTTAGGAATAACTGATTAGGAATAACTCCCCCTTTTACAACATCGGAAACTTCTTAGTTTAGACAAGTTACAAATTTATAAGGTGTTTATTAATTGTTCCTCAAATCCTTGCCTTTGATAAAAATGAGCTATCATGCTACGGAAATAAAGTATCAAAGATGAATTTTTCATATTCCACTTAAAGTTTGCCATGGTTTAACATCTAAATTGTTTCCTTTGGGACTAACATAAGCCCAGGATTTATGTGACTCCTTGTTGATGGATTTCAATGGGGAGGGGGAGGGCATTAAAGCTAGAACAAGTAACAATTTCTTTGGAAAAGTGTGAATTCACTGAGCTCAAATGATCTGGATTTTCCGTATAGTTTAATACTTTTTGTTTAAAAAGGAATGGAACTACCCAAAACAATCTATTAATTACTTTTTGAAGTAAAGGCAGTTGATAAAGGGGAAAGGCTGAGTTTAATTAATTAGCTATTTCACAGAAGCGTTACACTCCTGGGTGACTCTGAGAATTACTTTTTATTCATAAAAATTAGAAAACCAAAAATCATTTCAACAATTCTAGGCTGAGAATTACAGGAAAACTCAAAGGTATCAAGAGGAAATAAATTATGTTGCAATCAAGCACTAACTATATTTATGAGTTAATAGAAGACTAGTTGCAGATTCTTGTCAGGATGAAGAACCAGCAGTGCCTGACCTCATCCCTGGCTGGGGAGGAATATTTCTACCTTATCTAAACATCAGATATAGTTGGATTGAGATAAAATGGAATTGTTGATCGATCCAAAGAACCAGAATGAGAGCAGTTCTAGGATTTCAGTCTAAGGCTTTAGGAATATGCACAAGTCTGTTTTCCTAATCAGTGTGTTAGAATGGCAGCACTGTAACCAGGAGTGAAACTGTCTCAACAGACAAATTAAGTATCTATTGAATAAATGCAGCTGCAGCAGAGAAACTAGAAAATCTCCAGCTGCCTGGTAGCAACCGTCTCCTTTTAAAATTGAGTAAAAATATTCATGTTACTTAACGCCACTACTTTTACCTTTTCCATGATGAAACATTTGTAGGTTACTCAACCTTTGGACAAAACAGTGTTTCTGGCCACTATGTAGTTGCAGAAGGACAAGGCGCACACGCTACCATAGACCAGAGTGACCAAAAACTATTTGGGGATTACTCAGTGTTTTCAGAGTATTATTTGCTTAGTTATTTCAATTAGATACTTAACACCCTGATCTTGGAATGGTGGAGGGGTCCAACCCCGACTAGGACAAAAGCGAAGGTGACCTGGCCCCTGCACCAAGCCATCATTACCTTTTGTGCAGATTATGCAGTAGCAGATAACAGGTTAAGAATTGAATAATTTCATTTAAAAAGTCACACCAAAAGGCTCTATAATAGCAGCCTGGATTATGTTGGAAATTTAGGCATCAGATGATCCTGTTTTTAATGTTCTCACTTTATCACTTACTAGTTATATGACCTTGGATTCACACTGAACATCTCAATCTCTAAAAATAAGATGGTTCATAGCCTTTCACAGGATTTTTTTTTAAAGGTGAGCATTCTGTGCACTCTATTTTACAACTATAAAACCAATGTTCTAAAATATATTATGAAAAGGTTAGAGAAGCCTTAAATTCCTTCCAATTAAGAATATTTGAAGCTTTAATAATCAACAATAAATCCCATGCTGGGATCGTTTGACTAGAATATTGTTCTGTAGCCAAACTATCAGTGTTCACAAAACAGCTGTGTTTTCTCTGTCTCCTGTAGTTAGAGTGAAACTGTGTCTAATTTCTGGACAAAGTAATATTCAGGCCCTTAATGTCCACCACCAGCTCCAGCCTGCGCTCCCTCCAACAACACGAGGGCTGTGTGTCCCAGATGGTCTTGCTGAAAAGAAGCCTGCTAGCCATACCGGACATTTCATGAATGAGGATTAAAACCTTTGTATTGAGCCATCTGATTTAGTTGTCACCTGTAGCATGGCCCAATTTATCTAAATATTTCCTGCAAGAAACCAAGGGCTAGACAGGGCTGGCAATATACAAAAGGAAAAAAAATAAAGAAAAAAGAAAGTCATAAAACAAGGATCCCCCCTCTTGAGAAATTTTGATTCTGACCTGAACTTTTCACTCCATACCAATGAAACATTTATTAGTTTCATTAATGTTTCTCATTAACAAGTATTTTGTTTACTATGTGTTAAGCATCATACTAGGTGCAAATAATTCTGAATTTTAAATGTATGAACACTAAAGTGGTCCTCTACCCAGATCCTTACATATTACTGGTGTTATAATAGCTCTCTGAAATCTGTTACTTGTAAATGTTAATAATTTAGAAGAAAAACTTAACCAGTCAAGTAAAAATTTTTATGTGAACCAAATAATTTAATCAACAGTCCACTTTAATTTACATCCAGCCTGAAAAAACACAGTATTTAGAAAAAGAACTCAACCTATTTCATTATCCCCATCTACATGGCCCAAGTCTTTGCAAATGCTTCTATTACACAACAATACGTCTTGTGGGGAGGAAATGTTACACTGCTCCACATGTCAATATTTTGATTGTAGAAAACAAAACATAAAACCCAGTAAAATAACATCAGCTGCAATGCATTTCTCCTAAGAAATAACGTAAAAACTTTCACTGGAAGCCTAGCCACGACACTTTCAAAATGGACATGTGGTCCTGAGGACAACAATCAGTTCAAATTTTCCTAATGGACCAAATGTTTGAATGGCATTTTTTGTTTTTCACAATTTAGGCTGAGATGGCCAGTCTTTCACTCATCGACTCCCAGTGGCAGGGGGAAGTGTCTTCATGTCCCAGGGACCAGAATGCAGCATAAGCCCTGATGTTTGGCAGGTCCTTTATAAATACTTCTCAACAGGTAGAAAAAAATTAACACAGGAAAAGTATATTTATAAACGCCCATAGGCCAGACTTTAAATCCAATCTTGGAATAAGAGTATGATTTACATTAGGTAGTTTCTTTGAAGAATTTTACCATGGGGAATCACTACGGGCAGCCTAGCTCCTTACAAGGAGCCTAAAAGCTCCACCAGGGGAGGCAAGTTGGATTCCAACTTGCTGTCAATCATGTACCATGGAATGTGGTTTCCACAAAAGTTTATTACTACCAGCCAATGAACAACTCTGGTAAGCTAAGAGGCGACAGGGAGCACCAACAGCATTTAAAGGATAGCACAAGGAAGACAACTAGCTGAAGGCTGTTTGTGAATCTAAACATTTCACACATTGCCTCTACAAGAAAGCATTTGTTAAATTTTCGTCTTAATTTTCTGGAATGAATATTCAATTGAATTCCTCACTACAAGTTGAAGATACAAAAATTACAGGAAATAAAATTCTTAAATTTTCTTTGCCACTTTTATGCTTTGAAAATTCAAAATGGACATTCAAACGAGGTTACAAAAATACTTCAGATTTACATGCTGATAAACAGGAAAATATCTGACCATCGGGAGGACTTTCAAGCTGTGTCACTGCCATCCCATCATGGCTAAATTTAAGATTGCAGCACAGCTGGATTATTAGTATAGCAAATACCCAGAAAGAGAATGAAATTATAGTTTTGTGTGTGGAGTCAGGGCTTTTCCAGCATGGTGGGATGTTTAGGGTGGCTGGCTTTCATTTTATGTTTGAAATGTGTAAAGCAAAAACTGACAGCGTTAGGTAAAACAGCCAACTTCCAGCAGGTCTATGCAAACATCAAAAGCACAATGAAACTGGCTTTCATTTTACTGTTTTTTTCACATCAAGGATTTTAAAGTAAGTCTGGAGAATTTTTCTTTCCAATATGAGAATTCAACCAACTTTAAAATGGAAATGCATAAAAAAAGGCATTATCTTGTAGAAACCCATTGTCACAGGAATTCAATAGTCTTTAGAGACTTATTTTAAAAAATTAGGTTTCTAACAAAGCACATCCTAAAAATCCCTGAAATGAAATTGATGAATATATCATTGGCTATTTTTAAAATTTTGATTGCTTTTCTTTGATCATTATTACTTAATGACAAAGAAAATCTGTCCTGTTTCTTCCTTTGGAATATGGCATTAGCTCTGAACTGCTATAACATTTCTATTTGAAACGGTAAAGAAGTTGACCATGCATCAAGCTGAAAGTACTGAGCGACTAATTTGCTTTTAGGAGTCAGCTATTTGAGACTATAATGGTTACTCTGACACTTAGCTTTGTTAATGTCTCATAAGACAAGCAATGATAGTCCATCAACCTTGAAAAGATGGTTGCGGCCACACAACTCCAGAGAGTTATAGGTTGTGAATGAGCAAAAAAAACAGACTTTAACAAGATAAGTTTAAATGGAACAGCCACAACAGAATGAGTATATATAGATGTGCTTGAGTTGCTAGAAAAGAGGAAGGCAGACAGGTCTCACCTACAGTGACAAGCAAGGACTGGATCTGTGTGGGCTCTATGTACCGAGACAAAAAGGGTTAGGCACTTAAAGCTTTTTGATGAAAATCCTGGAGAAGAGCCTAGGCCCACATTTATTCTTATTATTAATAATAATCACATACTGTTCATGAAGAAACATGCAAACAGTTATGAAAATAAGACACAAGCTTACTCAGTGTTTCATATTATCTGGTTCATAAAATCTGATGCTTTCATATTGTCAAATTTCCTTATCAGTAATGGCAAATACCTTGTTGTGAAATTATTAAATTGCTGGCAACTATACGAAGCCCAAAGTCACAGCTGGTATAGATGTTACTAGACTGGTACCAATCTGGTAAAGTATCACCATCCAAAATTTTGTCTTCAATCATCCAAGTATCTTTTAACAATAATCTTAAGTTGCTTTATTCAAAGTAAATGTCGTCTACTTCTACCACCCTATAATCAGTAGTCCTCTGAAAAAGTATAATGTCCCACACGTAAAATAAAAATCTAATGTAGAAATCTCAAAAACGCAGTGTTTGTAATGTTAATTATCTATAGAACTTGCTTCATGAAACAGCTTTTGAGTATTTATTGCCCAGATGGGCTCAAAGTTCCTATAGGTGATATGGCAATGGCTCTAATACAGCTGTAAACAGAATACCACTAAAAAAAAATTATTGGCATGAAATACTACAATTATGGATGTTTTTAAATCTTAAAGCCTCTTTAACATATCATGTATAATATCTATGTACAAAACATACAGAAATTTCACTTTATTTATTTAAAACATATGAAAGAGGTAATTTCAAATCACACTAAACATAATAAATATAGAACTCGCTTTGTTAAAAATCTACAGTATACATTCAAGTAAAGGCTAAACTTCCAATGCCAACTATTATATTTATGAGACAAAAATTAAACATTTACAATAATCAGTTTTCTAAAAGTGCTATTTTAATACCTAAAAGAGGAAACTCATTCCAGTGCTTTTGTTTCCGTCCAAACATCTTATACATTCCTTTATTCACAGAACCAGATGCTTCTGTTACTAAAAATACATTTCCAAAGCTTTTATATCCTTTTAAATAGACTTAACATTTAGCTCTTTGGGGGAGGAACAGGGAAGTCCAAACAAACAACTCAGACAATCTTAAAGTTATTATAGATGACTGACTTTATGACACACCCTGTTTCAACTTAGATGTGAAATTTGATGAACATGTTGAGCAAGAAATTCCAGCCCATGTGTTTAAGGTAAATCATCTTTTTCTACATGAGAATTTGTATAGTTTAAGGAACATCCATTATAGCAACCTTCCTGTGATCCAGGTCTCGATGCCACGCTCCATTTCTGATTTGGACATTCTCTTCCAACCTGATTTGGTTTACTTTCTTCAGGGGTTATATTGAGTACATTGATTGAGCTGTTGGGGAAAAAAAAGGTAGAGCTTAAGGACCATCTCCTTTTATGCTACTTTACACATGCCTGAATATCTAAAGTCTGAAAGCTCCCTTGTCCCATTCTAAGTAAAATTTGAGTATACAATGATCAAAAATAAAGAAGTCTTTCCAAATGGCCTAATTTATCATTTTTACCTCATCTATCCATTTATTTACTTATCCATCCATTTATTTTACTTCTCTCTAGTCCACACTGAAGCAGGCTGCCCAACTGAAGCATAAATACGACAGAGAGCATAATATTTTGATAAGCATGTGCCTCATAATCTGCCAAAATTTTCTCATCTCTTTATGGTTTCTTTACTTGTCCATTTGTTCCTGTGTGCTTTCATCTATCCATTCACCCATGGAATGATAGTGTTTACAAAAGGGGAAAGCATTCAGACTCTGAAGTCAGATAGTTTGGGTTCATATCCTACCTAGGCTACTTACAAGGCCTCTTTTGTCAAGTTAAACCTCTCTATAACAGTAATATCTGTTCTGTGGGAACTAAATGAGTTAACAGACATTAAGCATGTAAGACAGTGATCGATAAATTTTATCAGGCTGGTGTCAATCCCAGCACCTGAAAACAGACACAGCTCTGACCTTTAGTGATACAATCTGAGAGGTATGCAACTGACTTCACAATAAAGAAATCTGGATAAATAATTACTTTCAAATCTACGGGACTGAGCTAATGAATCTTTTTTACAACTAAATATTTAAGTAATCTTTTCAGAAAAACTTTTTTTCCCCCAAAATATATATTTTTGTGACTGTGGTTTACTGACTCAAGCCTCATAATGTGTCAGTCCTAAAACATTTAAGTTGCTTTAATCATAGTTAATGCAAAAACAATTAAAAATTTTACTTACACTCATTTGCTAATATTTAAAAAAAAAAAACAAAAAACCAACTTGTTTGTAATTTTACCCTCAGATTCCCTATTTCTTAGTGCCATCTCAGACAAAATGAGATCTGCAGGGGCATTGTTGCCCCAGCCAGATAGGATACTGACAAGCAGCAAAGAGAAAGGGCCTCACACCGTGGGGCTGAAGATCTGGCATCCCTTTGCTTTTTGTTCTTGGTCATAGAGAGAGAAAAATTTATCAGAAAGTATATTAGGCAATAAATTATATGTATCAGCATACTGTAAGTAAATAGCTCGGATAATTGTTTGTTTATAAATTAGTTGTTCGGCAGTTTGGCCCACTTGACAATGGGAGATGGTTTGTTGAACATGCCTGACAAGCATTACAATTCAATAATTATTGTAAGTCCTTCTTTTGCCTTCCCTTGAAGTTTCTTGGGAAAGTTTTTAAATGAAGCTATTTGAGTTAAGAAGTTTCTAGGTAGAGGAAGTTCTGATAGCTGAGTAGCAGCCGGCCCCTGGTGTGAAGGCCATGAGAATAAGAAAAGTTCTTTCTTTGCTTAGGTTTTAGCTGATGGGAATGTTCCGGTGGCTATCTATTGTGTTGGGCTATTGTTTAGCTAAAACAATGAATTTTAGTGTAAGACTTAGTTTTTTATTAACCTTGAAGGTTGCCTTTTTGCTGAGAGCACAGAAAAAGAGATGCACTAATTGTTTCTGCTTTGTTTCTATGAACTTGATAATGTAATCTCAATGCTTGCAAAAAATGTATAAATAAAGAACCTGCTGAGCCTTTCGGCAGAAGATACTAACACCTCACCAAGTGTTGGTGTCTCCTCATTCCCTTCCCCTCAGTCCCTAAGTTTCAGATCATTTGTATTCGCCGACGTGTGTCATCCTGTCAGGAACCCTGACACGACATTTTGCCGGAGGCTGGTCCCCGGCAGAGATCCATGACTAAGTTCTTGAAGTTTAAACTGTATTATACATAAATGGTGACTGAAATGTATACCTATACAGGTAAGGTCTTCCTGGTCAAATCTGGAGGTTTCAATAATATTGTATATAAAAAAAACACTCTGAGCTTATATTACCTTTTTGATTGAAAATTAAGTTTTAACTTTCCATATTCAACCCATTAGTTGATCTATTGGCACTAACTGAATATACAGGTCAACTCCAAGGACTGCTAGCTTTGTGTTATGAACCTAGTCCCATTACTATCACCTCTTACCTCACCTCCCCTAATACCTCCTGGCTTATACCACAATCTGTTTTCCACATGATGAACAGCAGATTTTTTGAAATTTAGATTTATCTTGGTTAAAACTCTCCAATGATTTTTCACTGTGTTTAGAACAATATCTAACTTACTAGTATAGACTGAAATATTTTACACATAAAATCTCAAATGTGTGGATGCATGGGACACACTTGAACAACTAACTTGTCATGAATAGGTAATTGCTAAGCCTGGGTGATAGGTACAAAGGGGTCATAACCCTATTCTATCTGCATTTGCATATATCTGAACTTAAAAAATTGTTAATAGTAATGATTTTTAACCCCAAGGTCTTACAGGCTATAACCTTGCCAGCTCCATTCACTACCCACAGACACTCTAGTGTGCCATCTCGGCACACTTTAATAATTCATGTATTAAACAATTCTTGGTCCAAGGGGTACTTGGCAACTTCAAAATTAGCACCACACAGTCTCACACTACAGTCCTAGTGTGCGACAGTCTGACTCCTGCCAAGCTGCAGATGCTTGTGCACGGTCTTCGGCTTTCAGGGTGAGAGAGGAGTCACTTACTCCCCAACAGGCCCCTTCACCCTTTTCTATACCTATCTCACCAGGAATGTCCTCACTGCTTCTTCCGCTATTTCAAATTTAATCTTAGAACAGGTTCTGAGGTACATTACTGATATTATGTCTTGGAAAATGAATTAACAACTGGGTCAGAAGAAATCACCAAAATACAGCATATGAAGGCAAACACAGGTTTCCTGGGAGCAACATTTTCTACCCTGTCATCCTTGGGCATCGATCCTCCAAAACCAATCAAGATAAGGAGGATTCTTAGTTCTTTGCCTGCCAATACCAACAAAATGGGCACACCAAAAAAACTTTAAATAGGTACTCTACAAAAACTGACAAACATTATCTTTCTATTTAATAAAATTAATACTTAAAATATTAAGTAATATGTCCAAATAAGACTGTTTTATATGTGAAATAAAAGGAATTCCATATTATGGTATAGCTGCCAGAAGACAGGAACTAGTGTCTATACACAATGAATACTCAACAGATATTTATAGAAAGAACAGATCTACTAAATTCCTTGTGAAAGTCTCTACCAGTGCTAAGACTACAGATATCAAGTCTTCCTTAGCTGTGCAACTTTAGCAATTTTACAAATATGTGAGATCACCAATAAGCCAATACCTATGTTCAGATACACAGGAGCGTGACTGGCAAAAGTCTGAAGTGGAAGGAGAAGCAGGAAGAGATTTAGCAAGTTTAGATGTGCAAGCTGGAGACCCATTAGATACACCATGAGGCTTCTTTTGCCGTGGCTTCGAGTGCACTGTAAGATTGTCTCGATCAGAACCTGTTTAAAGATAAAAAGACAGTACTTATAAGGTACTAAAAATAGTGAAGGTAATTAGACAGGATGACTCATATGCAGTTCTGAGCGAGACACAAGATAGAACAAATTTATCTGAGTAGCCATTCTACCTTGATGACTCTAGTCTAGCTAATCTTGCAATTTTTTTATGCATATACATCTAGATTGTGAATTTTATGAAGCTTATTAATACACTCATAATAAGATGTTTGTGGTATCTATAGTCCTGTCATTTTGATTTTTCTACAGTAAACAAAAGCTGACTTTGAGTCATAACTAGATGGCTCTCATGTGATCACCAAAACTTTAGTAATTTATAGTATTTTATTTACATGCATTTTAATATTAAAAGCTTATGAGGTACTCACTTCCTGAGAAGGCACTGAAAAGTTTCACATTTTCTGAGTTCTGGTGGTCAAAGGTAGTCATATTTAAAAACTGTTGCTTTAACCAACTGGCTCTTTCTTCCTCAAATGCCTTTCTCTACAATAACAAGCAAACCAAAGAAATACTGACGAGTAGTTCAACAATCACAGATTCCATTCCACATGATTTCTTTAGCTATTTGTGTTTGCTTTCTGATTATCATACATATTTCTTAAGTCAAATGAATCAATCTAGAAAACTAAACAATTTCATTTAAGACAATAAGTTTAAAAAATTTATTCCTTTTATCTAATTAATAAACCAACTAATTACCAATTTTGAATTCAAATGGATGATGCAAAAAAGCAGCATATTAGCATAACTTTTAAAAATAAAGGGTAACATCACTTTTGAACACACTGAACATTATAAATACAAAATTACAAACATTAGAAAAATACCTCATTGTAAGTTAATTACTTAGGGGAAAAAAAGGAGGAATGGTTTCATCAAGCATTGCTTTCACCTTTGAATCATCTAGCCTGTACATTAAAAAAAAAGGTACATCTTCTGGGCCTCCCCGGTGGCGCAGCGGTTGAGCGCTGGGTTGCGAAGCTGCCCGTGGCCTCTGCGGCGCTGGTTCGATCCCCAGCTGCTCCCCGGCCACCGGAGGAGGGTCCCACATGGCGCGCAGACCTCTCCTGCCTCCCGCTGCTCCCCTCAGCAATGTACTTCGGTCCTTCTGTCTGCTCTGCTCCCCGCTCTGGCTCTGGTGAGTTCTCTCACCCTCCCACACTTCTGACTGTACCCAGTGCATGTATAAACAAAACGAACGAAGAAATAAATAAAACAAAAATTAAAAAAAAAAAAAAGAAAAAGGTACATCTTCTCAACAAAAAATGAAAAAAACAGCCATAGAAAAAACTTGATATGATCTTTTTTTTTTTTTAGATTTTTTTTTTTAATAGAGGCATGTTTTTCTTTATTTATTTGTTTGCTTGTTTGTTTGTTTTGTTTATACATGCACTGGGTACAGTCAGAAGCGCGGGAGGGTGAGAGAATTCACCAGAGCCAGAGCGGGGAGCAGAGCAGGCAGAAGGACCGAAGTACACTGCTGAGGGGAGCAGCGGGCGGCAGGAGAGATCTGCGCGCCATGTGGGACCCTCCTCCGGTGGCCGGGGAAAAGCCGGGGATTGAACCGGCGCTGCAGAGGCCGCGGGCAGCTTCGCAGCCCAGCGTTCTACCGCTGTGCCACCGGGGAGGCCCTTGATATGATCTTGAATGTCCCTTTTGAACACATTATTTAACAAAAACTGTAAAGGAACAGACAGCATCAATGTACATTATGCCATCACCACTAACCCACAAGAGGGCACAGGGCCGCCTTGCTCTCTGAAGAGCTGCTAAGGCCTAAACTGAACACAGAGGAGCACAGAGGAGTGAGGAAGAACACAAAGGACCAGGTGAAGACCCATGGGTACTTTGGTGGTGGGAGAGCGGTGACTACACCTGAGGAGGGAAATCATATACTGTCAAAACACTAGCAAGGATGTAAAACAATAAAATTTTATTTAACAAAAGAATGGAGGACATTTTCTCACTTTGTAGCTTTTCCTATGGGAAAGTGGTGTTTTTAAACCACTCAAACATCAACTCTAAAATTTTGAAAGTGAAGTATGTTGGTAATTCATTGTGTTAAATAAAAAAGGATCTTCAGGAGCAAGTATACAGTTCATTAACAACACACACATACCTGGGTGAAGGACTGAGAGGAAGGGAGATCATTAATTTTTACTGTACTTCCCTTCAAAAAATTACAAAAAGCCGACTGACAGTGGATAGGTGAGGTGTCCAAAAGAGACATGTGTGCTGGGAAACCAATCCAAAAGGGATAATATACATGTATAGTCTCAAAAAAAAACACCTTTAAACTCCCAAATCCAATAAAGGTGAATGTCAGGGTACAATTTAATAATGTTAAAAACTAAGCCCCCTCCACTCCTTGCCCAGCAGGCACGTTTGGGAGGCTTGAACAGATAACTGATATGGTGCCTTGGGGACAAGGCCATAAGATCCACCATCAAGACCAGAAAAACCAGCTCAGCTCCAAGAGTGCAAAAGCATGTTTGACCTGTTTCTATGTCAAAGGTCAGAGCTCAAGACCAGACATCCCAGCAGATAACTGGTCTAAACTGGTACCCCAGATTAGAAAGCCCACGAAAACAGAGCATAAAAAAGAGCTTCAAGTCCTCCTTTGGGAGCAGACTTCTCCCTTCTTGTCTGCTGTTCAATAAATCCACCTTTTCTGTTCACCACACCGTCTTTGGTGAATTCTTTTACCCCTGCACCTCTGGCCTCACCCCAACACTTCTCCCTACTACAGTGAACAGATATACCCTTCTACAATAGCTATGTGCTTAGGATCCCTTCCATAACTTGTCATGGGTAAAAGGCGTTAGGAAAAAAAAAAACCCGAAAAACTAAACAGTAAAGAACAATGAAAAACAGAACTTCCATGCATTCTACTGAGCACCCACATTTTCCCAAAGCTCTACAAAGAAAGCTAAATGTTTAAAATACCTCCAATCCTAGGCGAATGGCAGCTTCTGTAAAGCTTCGTCTTTCTTTCTCAAAATTCTTTTTTTGTTCTTTAAATAGGGACCATTCTTCTTTGAGGCGCTCCTTTTCCTCCAACAAATAACAGTCTCGAAGCAGTGAAGTGGTATCATCATCACACGCAGTAGCGAGCTGCTGCTATTAAATTGTGAAACATAGTAAGTCCCAGAGGATCCCCGAAACTACCACAAGTTGAGGTAAAAGAGAAGGCAGGTCAGACTTAAAGGGCAGGACAGAGATAGCAAAGAATCAGAAAGTCAGAGGATTCTTATTTCCCAAGTGGTAAAGCATCAACTAGGGAATGGTAAACAAAGCATCTGTTAGAAAAGTGTCAAGTATTACAGACCTTATGAAATAAATCAAAATCTAGTAAGATTCAGTAAAATTCTGACCCTTCCAAGGGAGAACAACTTTAAAAGGTAACACACATACCTGTAAAAGTTGTTGCTGAGTTTTGATCATTTCTTTACACTGCTGAATTTCTAACTCAAGTTTTTCAGTTTCCTGCTCATGGTCTTGCCGTGAGATGACATCTTCATCATTAAAACCTTCTAGGTGTACCTTTGAAACTAACAAAAATCCAGCAATTTGACACAGGTTTTACAGCCATCACTAAGTTTATGACATTTGGGACATATCTGAAATTTAAGGCTCTCTGAATTTCTTTCTGGAATCTCATAATTTTCTAAAAGGTAGGTAATTTTCTTTACCCTTAAAAAATCTCATGAGCTATAATAAAACAATCTATATTTTAGGGGCCTCCCAGGTGTCCCAGGGAGAAACTCTCAGTGCTATCACCTCTACTGCATAAGTTCCATCACTGGCCAGGGAGCAAACCCACATATGGCTCAGCAGACCTCTCCTGTCTCACCCGCTGCTCCCCTCAGCAGTGTATTCTTTTTTTTTTTTTTTTTTTATTTTATTTTTTTTTATAGAGGCATTTTTTTTTTTTATTTATTTGTTTGTTTGTCTGTTTGTTTTGTTTATACATGCACTGGGTACAGTCAGAAGCGTGGGAGGGTGAGAGAATTCACCAGAGCCAGAGCGGGGAGCAGAGCAGGCAGAAGGACCGAAGTACACTGCTGAGGGGAGCAGCGGGCGGCAGGAGAGGTCTGCGCGCCATGTGGGACCCTCCTCCGGTGGCCGGGGAGCAGCCGGGAACTGAACCGGCACCGCAGAGGTCGCGGGCAGCTTCGCAACCCAGCACTCTACCACTGCACCACCGGGGAGGCCCCAGCAGTGTATTCTTTTTTAAAAAGATTTATTTATTTATTTATACAAGCACCAGGTACAGTCAGAAGCACGGGAGGGTGAGAGAATTCACCAGAGCCAGAGCGGGGAACAGAACAGGCAGACTGATGAAATACACTGCTGAGGGGAGCAGCAGGCGCGGCAGGAGAGGTCTGTGGCGCCATGTGGGACCCTTGCTGGAGGCCAGGGATCGAACCAGCGCTGCAGAGGCTGTGGGCAGCTTTGCAGCCCAGCGCTCAGCCACTGTGCCACCAGGGGAGGCCCAGCAGTGTATTTTATGCCTGTTTTGCTCCCCATGCTGTCTCTGAATCTTCTCACATCGCCACACCTCTGACCTACACCCTAGATCTTGTATATAAAAATTAAAATAAATAAACAAAGCTACATTTTAAAGCCATGACAATATTTTAAAAAGCAGAGTAACCATAAGGGGTTCATAACAACTATTAAATATTCATACTTTGGGGCTAAATGATATGCTTACAATCAGAGTTCTATTGCCAACATTTAATTTGTAATCCACATTTATTCAAAGTGCATGGCCTAATTAAAAAAGGACAATTTACATTTACAGAAGAGAAATTTAACATTCATAATTGGGCTCTTTCAAGGATCAATACAGTACTGCAATCTTGCTCTTTGGCATAAAATTCAACAAATATGAAGGAATCCAAACAAACTTGTTATTTACTACTAATAGACAATGCCAACTGAAATCAATAAAATCTCACATAAATTAATTTTGATACTATAATAATTCTGTTGCTTGCCTGTTACCACTGAAGACAACTGGCACTGAGTGTGATTTGTGAACTTTAAGAATAAAGTTTCCTATAGGCTTCATTTACTAGGCAGAAACCCTGACTATATTGACTTAAAAACATGTGAATTTCAACAAATAATAACTATTAAGGATATATTCATTAATGTAGATCTAGATGTACTGCCTACAATGACAGGAGGTGATGTCTAATATAACAATTAGGTTAAAAGCACAGTGCAGAAATACACGTGTAATAATCAATTTTTGGTTTTATATAGTTTAATTAAGTATTCTGCAAACGTATAAAGTCTAGAAAGCTATACACCAAGCATTAAGTATTATTATAGATATGCAACAAACACCTGCATATTCTGCCTCATATTCCAAAGTGATATTGTGCATTGAACAGCTATGATTTTGAACATAATTTTAAAATGAATTATTAGGAACCTAGGAATATGCAATTATCTAAAAATAATAATCAGATCCATAGTTATATTGTATCATGATTTACACTATATTTTGATTTCCAGGATTTAGTAAAAGATTCAGTTGCCTTATTCAATTGTATACTGCACTCAGAGAAGCTGGATACAGAATGTCTTCTTGCCAGAGTTTCACTTTAAGAGTGTACTTTCTTAGTGAGGCTCAAACCTCATATCTAGAAGGAAGCAGAATCCTGCTTTCAAACCACCAAAAATGTGTCATAAAATGACCTTCCAAGTGATCAAAATGAAGAGGGCTTACTGAATGCCACAACTCATTCAATAATCAGTTAGGCAGTATTTACCTTGGTTATCAAGTTTTTCTACATGGCTTTTCAAAATTCTCCACTGTTTTCTGATGCTGTTTGTAAGCTGTTCTCTCACAGTTTCGCAGGAAAGGTCCCATATACTCTCTCTGTTCAGTTCCCCGCCATCTTCCTCAACATCAGAGAGAACCTACAGTGGTGAGGGGTGAAAAGGCAAGAGCTGAGCCTGAATGCCGCCCAATACCAAGGCAGCAGGAATCTCACTGCCAGAGACACATGTCAAGGTCATTTCCATGGTGTATATTAAGGATATATGACCCAGTATTTAATATAAATATCGTGAGAAAAAGTAATTAATATTGAAGACAGAAATCCCTCAATTATCTCTCTTCAAAGGTGAATTTGGATCCAAATATAGTGACAAGAATCACGGAGTTGTGTAAGGAAGAGAGTTATATACTACTTGTCTCATGTTGTGTTAAATGCTTTCACATGTTAGTCCTTAAATCGTGTTACAATGTGGTTTCAGCATCTCCACCAAAAAAAAAAAAAAAAAAAAAAAAAAGAAAGGAGACTTAAGAGACTTGTCCAATGCCACACTGAGATAGGAAGTTAGATGACTCCGTCTCCCAAAATTACCTGTGAAATAATCGCCAAAGAGGGAGGAACTGTTCATCCTAGTTTTCTTAATTTTGTGTACATCTAGAGATTATTTTTCTTTGCATTCTACCAACACATCAATTCACAGGAAAACGCAGCAAATTTACACTGACACAGGACCAACAGAATCTAAGCAGGACTGAGATCACAGTGTAGGGTAAAGAAAATGTCAGGCTTTTCTGCCAGTTCGCCATCAGGATAGATGATGGATCCTTGTCCTGAATGCATGCCTGATGGCGGGCACCTGGAATAGGGTGTGGGCATAGGTAGATGGGATTCAGCTGAGGTAAGACTGTGCTTTTTAAGGGCGGCGTCACGGGGGGACGCCAGCAGCACTAGCAGCAGCAGCAGCAGCAGCAGCAGCAGCAGCAGCAGCAGCAGCAGCAGCAGCAGCAGCAGCAGCAGCAGCAGCAGCAGCAGCAGCAGCAGCAGTAGCAGCAGCAGCAGCAGTAGCAGCAGCAGCAGCAGCAGCAGCAGCAGCAGCAGCAGAAGCCGAGAAAGCAGCAGTAGAAGCCGAAGCTGAAGCCGAGAAGCAGCAGAACGAACTCCAGAGAGCTCAGATAGAGTGAAGACTTGCTGGGGGCTGGGAGGCTGGCAGCCAGCACCCCTACCTGCCATATGCCTGGTGAACCCCAAATAAAAAACCTGCAAAACTACTGAGGACTCTGACTCCTCCTTTACCCATCTGCCTGGATCCATCAGAAAACCTGCCCTGTGGCCAGTCCGGCCCCTACACACAGGAACACAGGGGAACAATACTTAAATGGATACAGGTCGAAATAATACGCATCCACATAAAATGGCTAGGAACCAAGAAAGTAAATAGATATTATTTTATTAAATTGAACAATAAATATCCGGCTGGGGGGAAAAAGATGGCAGACTGCTCCCGTGACAGTTGTGGCAGGAGTGAGGGAGTGACTGGGCCTGAAGGACGTATCAGTAGTATGAGGTCAAGGTGTCCCAAGAGGAGTGGATGGGGGAAGGGCCCTGGTGTGGCTCATTTTGACTTTGATTCTTGCTAATCAATCCTCTGGAGCTAACTGAGAGTTATTTCCAAGAAACTACTCTACCTCTTTATTATATCTTACGGCAGATACCGTAATTCCACAAGAAGATTATTTAAAGAAATTAACAACTGCTGCACATTTCCTAGACTGGGTGAAATATTGAAACCACAAAGTGAAAATTAAAAATTCACTTAAATTGAATTGGATATTTATTTTGGGTCAATTAAATAAGCAAGCAAAATAAATAAATAAAACCTGAATGCTACCCAGGCATGCCAAGGTTATCTCTTATTCCTCCTGTTATAATGCTCTAAAATCTGTCTTTTAAAAGGAATGGTTGCATTACTTAAAAGCATCTAGAAAAATAGATCTTTTAAAAACAGTAAATATACTTAAGAGACCACTGTGTTTTTAAACTTAAACATCTGAATTAAAAAGAATTATACCCACTGGCAAAGTAATGGAGCGGGGAGACAAGCAGGGGAGGCAGCCTTTAATCATCTGAAAGAACTCCATGGTTTCCTATGTGATTTTGCTGACTAAGAGCTGATAATGACAAGTTAGTAAAGGCTGGACTCAAAACTGAAGAAACTACAGAGGTAACAGGAACCTAGTGAGTATTAGTAAATGTCAAGAACTGACTAGAAGTGACAGACTTTGAGAGAAAAAGTGAACTAAATATAAAAGGTTAAGTAGACCCCAAACTGGAGAGTTAAAAAAACAACAGCATTCAGTACTATTTAAAGAAAACAAAGGTGGGAGGTAGGAACTGTTGGACTTATTTGTGATATTGCAAAATAATTCTCAAATACAAATTAAAAAAAAACAAGCTCTGTTGATTTGCTGGAATTAGCATTTTCCATCAACATTGTTATTTTCGGATGTTAGTCACGACTGGAAAGCTGCTTAAATCTAGAATTTAAATGTATGTAATTAAGTTAAAAGTTCTTGTTACCATTATGTGACTTGTTTTTTCAGACTTCTGCACATATTATTTTCCATATCAAATGCTTATCCCATGTTTTCTATCTCAGAAGTATCTTATTTCTAAAACACCAGCTCAAATGTCACTTTCTGTGATGCCTTCCTTGATCGCCATATTGCTTTCTGTCTTTACCTCATTATAGTTTTTAATGTATAATGATTATTCTCTACATGACTGTCTCTCCCAAAAAGGGAGATGGAATGCAATGGACTGAATATTTGCTTAAAATTTATATGCTAAAATCCTAACCCCCAAGGTGATGGTGTCAGAAGGTGGGAGTCTTTGGGAGGCGATCAGATCTTGTGAGTAGAGCCCTCCTGAATGGTGTGAGTGTTCATATATCAGGGCCCCTAACCCTTGTGTCCTGGTATGTGAGGACACAAGAAGCTGGCACTCTGCCACCATGAAGAGGGTCCTCTCCCGACACAGACCCTGCCAGCTCCCTCCCAAGGCTCCAGAACAGTGAAGGAAAAATTTCTGTTGTTTACAAGCCACCCAGTCTGCCACTGCTTCAGCAGTCTAAATTAAGGGAAAAAAGTCAAATGCTTTAGTCTTTTTTTTTTAAGTACACAATATTTAAACTTTTAAAATGATATACAGCATAGAGATTAAAAGCATGAGCTTGGGAGTCAGACTTGAATTCAAATCCTAGTTCTGTCATGATTGATACTGGGCTAGTTGTTGTACCTCAATTTGCTCATCTACAAAATGGGAAAAATACCAAAGCATCAAATTATAAAAAATAAATAAGATAGTGCTTATTAAGTACTTATCACAGTCATGGAACAGACGAAATCTCCAGAAAATCATCTCCATTTCGTAAGGCATATCCAGAAATACACAGGGTCATTATTTTGGTTGTCATGACTGGGGTGTCCAAAATAACAATAGTGTCCCACTGAGAATACCTATTGAGTGTTTTAATAGTTCTACTTAGCAATATGAGACTGTATTAGAGAGGAAAGAGCCACTTACAGTTCCAGTACTATCATCTGCTCTTTCTCTAGGCTTCTGCTTTTGGGGAGAAAGAAGAGAAATCATTTCCTTTTTCATTTGTTGAAGAACCTTCTTAAGTTCAGCATTTTCCAATAGGATTTGTTTCTGACGACATTCATAATCATTCAAGAGAATTTTATACATTTCATCTTCATTCCTGAGAAAGAAATTGACAGTATGAAAATGCAATACAAAAAGAAAAGTCTGATTACATGCATCCATTTAGACTGGACCTCACCTGGCTTCAGTTTTATCAGTCCTCCAGGAGCCCCTCTTGCCATCTGCTCTCCCCACATAATTGAGAACTTCCATAGCTACAAATAGGAACAGAAGTAAAACTGATTCTTACCACAATGTTAAGTATTTAAAACCCTAATATACTATATACCCATCAGAGACATACCCCAACCTGGGTACAGATCAATATATGGGTTTAAACAGCCAGATTTCAAGTTCTAGTTCCATCGTTTAAGCACTGAGATCCTGGCAAGTTTTTGACTACTAAGCCTGTTTCTTCATCTATACCAGGGGAATAACTAAACTATGTACTAAAGAATTGTTGTGAAGAGTGAGTGAAAGAATGTTAAAGCACTTAAATACAGTAACTACTTAATAAATGTTAATTTATCATCATTACTGCTTTTATCAACAGGAGTTGGCAAACCATGGCTTGCAGGCCAAGGGTGTGATTTGTGAGTAAATTCTGATTAGAACAGTCGCACGGTTTGTATGTTGTCTACTGTTACTTCTGCAGATAATGTCAGAGATGAGCAATGGTGACAAAAGGCCCTACTATTCCCCAAACCTGAAAAATTTTGCCACACCCTGTATCATTACCATCAAGGGAGTTAAGGTGCCCTGACTAATGTCTCTTCTGACCCAGGGGGAGAAGGAAACAGTTGGCACAAGAAGGAAATAAGATAAGAACAAGTTATTACAATTTTAAGCTGATAAAATTATTATGAAACAATCACCTCCAAATGAGTTTGGACCAGGAAACCACCAGACCCCCACACTATGTAAGAGCTCTGTTCTAAGTGTTAGATCTTTAATGAACTTCTCTAACTAGGTGTCATATTTAATACTTGCAGCATTTCATCCTGCACTTTGTTATTTCCTTCAGCAATGAACACATGGTTAGCTAACTTTAAATTCAATCAATGTCCAACTGAAGTTTATAATTTTTCGACCTCCGAATACCTAAGTATTTCTAACCTTGTCTTAATCACTTACTATAACTTTCATTTCTCAATAGTTAAAAAAAAAAATCTAATGACTCTAACAATTCTGCTATACAGAAAGGCAATGTTGCAGTCAACATTCAACAGCTTGTTGGTAGCAAGCAGAGCTCACCATGTGACAGCTTGAAACATCTGCTCATCAGCTGCTGTGTACAAGACCAAGCTCAGTTTCAGAAAGACAGTTTATGGGTCTCTTGCTTAAAGTATGTTAGAGGACAGCCTGTCATCCAGTCCACTTAGAAACCACTCTTCAATAAATGCAGATTTCCTGTTCCCTGAATCTTTAGGCCAGCAAAACTGTGCAGCTCTACCTTTGTGTGTATGTAGTTCTACTTCTAGCTATGCTATTTATTTGAAATCATGCACATCTATTTGGATGAAATAATACTCTTTGAAAATTAATTTTCAAAAGAGTATTAGAAAAAAGTATACCTTAGGCACAAATGTAAGCATAATTTTCACGGTCCATCCTTTTGACTAGTTGCATAGCTAAACTTATTTAAAGGAACTCAACTGACATGAATGATTTGGCCTGGTGAATAATTTTATGAAGCTAACTTTGGGCCTCCCCAGTGGTGCAGGTGGTTGAGGGCAGTGCTGTGAAGCTGTCCACAACTTCTGCAGTGCAGGTTCGATCCTGGCCGGCTGCGAAGATACCCACATGGCGCGGCACACTTTTCCTGTCTTGCCCGCCGCTCCCCTCAGCAGTGTATTTCAGCCAGTGTGCCTGTTCTGTTCCCCAGTCTGTCTCTGGTGAATCCTCTCACCTTCCCACACATCTGGCCTGTACCCTGGTTCTTGTATGCATGAATAAATCTTTTTTTTTAAAAAAAAGTTAACTCTAAAATCATACTTCTTTTGATACGCAGAAACTGATCCTGACTTAATATTATCAGTTCTTTGCCATAGAAGATGGGTGTCCTTTGCTCAACTTTTCTTAATGGATCAATCCTTCAACTGTCATGTTAAATATATATATACACAAAATTCTTATATGCAACTAATGAAGCAAATAAAAATTACTATTTTTCACTAACCAGTTGTCTCAATTTCTAGCTTATATAGATATATGATATCTATCATCAGTTACATAAACATGAAAACAGCACTTCATGAGTTAAATGCTCAACCCTTTCATTTTTTAGCATAATATTACCTTATTTATTCCCTTTGCTCTATCTTAGTCAGCTGCTTCTTACCTATTTTTTTATCTTTCTTGTTCATAACAAGCTGATGTAGACGTTCCTTTAGTTTATTATATTCACGCTCTTTTCTCTTCATATCATGATTATACTGTGTAGCTCGACTTGCAATGATGTTCTGTAATTTTTGTACCTGAAAGAAGTATTTTTCTCTCAAATGAGTCTCTTCAGGATTGATAAACCCAGTTAACACTTCCATATTCTAAAAACGAAAGCCCTGGCATTTATTCATCTTCCTATCTAATGATTTAAAAATTCTAGGATTATTTCTTATTCTCCATAACCATTGTAAATCATTTTAAGATCTCAGTAAATGAATCACATAAAAGTTGTTATTATTTAATTCCGGAATTTCCAAAGGGGTTAGCTTTCTAAATTACCTTCTACACTTTTCATCCAACAGAAACTCTTAAGAAAGTTAAGAGTGACTAAAAAAAAGTTAAGAGTGACTATAGAAAGTTAAGAGTGACTATAAAAGTGATTAAAGCCTTATCTGAAAAAAGAGCCCATTTGATCATTTGTAATGACTTCCTTATACTGACTTACTATTCCTGATCATTTATGGCACAAAGCCATTTTCTTTCATCAAAAAGAGTTTTCAAATTATAGTAAATTCAAACAGCAGACAGACCCTGGTTCAACATCTGCTGAGTACCTACCACATGCCAGACACTATTGGTCAATATTTGTATCAATGAAGGCCTCTCTGTAGTCCTTAATATTTCTTTTAGAGAGGATCATGTTTAACAATTTATTCCCTTACTAAAGATAAACGATATTTAAACCACGTAAGTGTAACCAACAGATCAAATCAAAATTTTCTGTGAAATAACTCCAGGAAATGTCTGAGCAACCTTGCAGTGTAGTTAAGGTACTTTATTACCTTACTTACTAAATATATTACCAAATAATCCAATATGGTAAAACTAATCTATCCTGGAAGTCCTTAAAGAAATACACTGCCCTAAATTTTATAATTAAAGATTTAACTACAGTTAAAACAACACACATAACACCTAAAATATTATACTTTCAGTTATAATATGGTCACTGATCAATTGCAGAATAAAAACAAGTGTTTGTTACTTCTTCCATAAATAATTTCAAGTGCAGTAAATACTAAATGTTAGTATTAGATATTATAGTTATGACCTAATTAGCCTCAGAAATGAGATTTTTAATGTGAATTACCTTAAAGAAGAAAAAACAACAGCAATAATTCCTGTGCCCATTTAGTCAAGACTGGATGAACAGTGTCAACATTTAAGATAGTTTAGGAAGAAGCATGCCACATATCATGTACAGGTGTGACAAAGAATAAAAAGAGCTGCATTTAAAGCACCCTCTCCCTGAGAAAAAGTGACAGTGCATTTGAGGCGAGTGCAGGATAGCTCAGGACACTGGTTGTCGGGAGGGTGCCTGACCTTTCAGTTAAATGTGATCCAACATTGTACACAGATCCCCCATCTGAATTTGACACAGGGTGAAAAAATGGTTCTTTTTTTTTTTTTTTTTTTTTTTTTTATAGAGGCATGCTTTATTTACTTGTTTGCTGGTTTGTTTGTTTTGTTTATACATGCACTGGGTACAGTCAGAAGCGCGGGAGGGCGAGAGAATTCACCAGAGCCAGAGCGGGGAGCAGAGCAGGCAGAAGGACCGAAGTACACTGCTGAGGGGAGCAGCGGGCGGCAGGAGAGGTCTGCGCGCCATGTGGGACCCTCCTCTGGTGGCCGGGGAGCAGCCGGGGATCGAACCGGCGCCGCAGAGGCCGCGCGCAGCTTCGCAACCCAGCGCTCAACCGCTGCGCCACCGGGGAGGCCCGAAAAAATGGTTCTTTCCTACTTTCAAGTAAAGTAGCTCCTATTATCACCTGAAGATACATAAAACTATCAACATTTACTTAAATTTTTCTCTGCAATAACTAAGAACTCACCTCATCTTTCTCATTTTTCAGTAGTTGATGTAAATTCCTGTTCTTGCACTGTAACTGTCTGTCTCTTTCCTGGAGACCACTCATTTCTCTCTTGGAAGTTTCCAGTTGTTCCTAAAACATTCATATGCAATTTTAATTAAAGTTCATATAGAATTCAGAGCAAGCAAATTTTTAAAAGATTAACAAATTACACATACTAGGATTTGTTATCTAAAACTGAAGTCTAAAGGTACACAAAATGTTAATTTAAATCAATCATTGTAAAGCTTGTTACTATAAATAAAATTTGCTTATCAATTTTTATTTAATTTAAATACCATACTTTTATGTATACACAAAAGAGTTTCAAAGTGAATCCCTTAAAAGGCTCTTCAATATTTCAGTGATACTGCCACTGGAGATTTGAAAAATGTCTTTTTTATAGTTTTACAGCACACCTTTAAAGAGCTAAAAGTGATAGGGATTTCTGTTTGAAGAAGGAGGGTGGCCAAATAAAATGGAACCTTTTTAAAAAGGGCGGTTCTATAGGGCAACGCCAGTTTTCCCATGCAGATAGTAAACGCTGAAGATTTTGTCCAGAGAGCAACAGCCAATATCACGGGATTCATTATAGGATAAGATGCCCAGGTTCAATTCATTCCATACATTTCCAGAGGAACTGTGCCAAGTTCTGCAAGAAGCCCCTGGAGTATTTTTTAAATCCTCTTAAAAGTCTCACAACAACTGACAACAACTTGCACAATCTCTCTAACAATGGACCAAAAGATACTGAAAATTTGGGGCTGTAACTTGGGTAACTGTACGCTTGTCAGAATTGTTGGCACCCTCTTTTGGACTGTTTAAAAGTCCCTATCATGCCAACCATTTGGCATGGCTCAACTTAAAGGCACTGTTCCAGCTGGTCTGTCAAACATTCACTTTGAGCGATTACCAACACTCTCCCTGAACTCACCATCATCCCTGAAAATCAGGATACGTCCCTCCCACATTTCTAATCATCTTAGTGACTTATACCACCATCCCTAGTAAATTCCAATTAAGGACCTAGAGGGTATCTTAAATTCATGACTCTTATTCCCCAAATTCAATTCTGCCATTGTTACCTTCTAAATTTTCTTCATATCTCACTAGCTCCACTGGCATTTCCTTAGTTCACCTCGAAAACTTTTCTGGCCGGGGCGAATGATACGGCCTACTAATAAGCTGCATTTTACCTGGCTTCTACAGCCCCTTACCTCCATCCCAAATACAAATTTGCAAATCTGCCCCCCCTCCCCTATAATTTATCCACTCTACTGCCAGACTGACATTCACACAACACCCTTCTCCTGTTAACAATTCCTCAGGGCCTCCCAGTTCCTGTACACTGTCTTTCATATCATATGAGGCTTGGGTGACAGCCTCACCTTTATCTCTCTTGATCATGCATCAGGTATTTCAGTCCCTGGAAAGCTGTTTGTTGTTATAAAATGCTCTCTGATGCCTCCATATAGATTATATGCTCTGCCTTAGAATGTGTTTTCCAAACACTAACCAATTCGATTCATTTCTTAAAGCTCAGATCAAGTGTTACCCTTCTCTCTATGAAGCTTTCCCTTACCTCCACATCAAGCACAATTAATATAGCAAATAATCATGGTTTAAAGTATTTCCTTCCACTAGACTACAATCTCCTTCAAGCAGTCTACTGAATGAATCATATGACAGATTCAGAACCTCTTTAAGGACAGACCAGAAAATTTTTTCACTGAACACATACTTCTGTCCACAGTTGATCAAAAATACCTGATTTTGGTCCAGGTTAAATTCCAAATTAAAAGATATCCTGGAAATCACTCTATACTCTAGGTAATCCTAGTAATAACCATTACTTAGAAGAAAGGCTCACTATATCCATCCCCAGATTATCAGTATCATCATTTATTTACTAGCTACTTAAAAGACACTTAGCCAAAGGTACCCAAATAAAAAGTTGTAATGCAGAATTACTGACTTCTAGGGTTTACAACTCTGGTTCAGTATAATGCATAAGAACTTCCACCAAGTGTCTCTGAGTCAAATTAAGTATTATCCATAACTCAGAGACTTTTTGTAAGCTTGGAAGGCAGCCTCCTTAGGTCACTACAGTGTGCAGGTCACCCAAGATAAGGAGTTGAATACTCTCTATGCCTTAGGCATACAGGAGGTGCAAAACCCTAAAAATATTATTAGGGAAAACAAACCTACACTGTACATGAGCTAAGGAGACAACATAAAATAGCACTAGGTAATGCAGGCTGGAAAAGGCAGGTGCTGCTAAGGAGTTAAGATGCTTCTCTAAGTTGATCTCCAAACGTTCCCTGTGTTCACCCACAGGCCAATTCTAGGTTACTTCTTTTTAATACATTCTCTACTGGAAGACTTGCAAATATGATATAGAGCGATCCTATTATTTTTCATTCCAATAAAACTCAGAGAGTCAAGATTTTGAGTAGGATTTGTTGTTGTTATCTATTCTTGGAGGGAGCAGGTAGGGGAGGATACAGGACAAAAAATAAGTGCAGAGGCATGAACCACACTGACAAACCAAAAGGAATCTGATTTTCTGAGAGTCTGCTGATTAAAGATTTTTATTTTCACAAATATACAGACTCAGTGTAGAAAAGCACCTTTAGGAGAAAAAAATTGCCTTGAATTGGTAACACTGTTCATAATATACAATCCTAATGTATGTGATTGTGAACACCTTTTTCTCTTTTTTTCCTCAAATAAATGAATTTTAAAAACCTTTCTAAAAAAAGGAAAGAATAAAAGCAAAGCAGAAGCTAGCAACAAATGTTTTATATTTTAAGGGAGGTATTATGAGCCTGTTAAAAATGTTTCTTTTATTCAGAGAAGCAAACAAGTTTATGAAAGCATTCTACAGTCATCTCTAGAGACTTAAGGATTTCTAAAAGTTAGAAGTTATCTGATATGCTTTCATTATTGAGTTTTAGTAACTTTGGCATGGAGGTTCTCAAGAATATTTATCCTGGAATTAACTAATGTACCCTCTCACAAGATGATTTTAAGTTACACATCTATCTATTAAGAAGAGTGACTAGGGTGGGAGAGTCCTCACTTTATTTTTGTCAGATTGAAATATTTTCTAATCTAAGTTTCTACAGATTTGACAAGTTGCTACACAGAGTTCATAAAATCAATACCCTCAACATTGATATAGAGAAGCAATACAAGTGATACACACAAATTAAAGTTCACTTTTAATTTCCCAGTTTTTAAAAAAACCCTCAAACTTAAAAAAACAAACCCTAAAATAAAGTCAATAAAAATTCAAAGTATCATATGCATATTTTCAATGCAGACAGACAATTTCTACCTTAAGTTTTGCATAGCAGTTCTGCAGATGGTCCATATCACTTCCCAGTTTCAGATTCTGTGTTTCCACATTTTCCTGAGCTAGAAGGTTCTTGCGCTGAAGTACAAGTAGCTCATTCATACAATTTAAAACAGCAACTACATTTAATCCTCTCTTTGTCTCTTTACCTTTGGGTTCTTCATATAATGAAGGAAAACCAAAAGTAGTCAATTCCTGGTAGGAGAAAATGTTTTCATAAAATTTGGTTACCATACAACTTAGTACAGAAAGAAAAGACAGTAATGTTTTCTGAGAAAGAAAACTATCCTACAATACTTAATAGTAAGTATCCAAAAGTACTAAAGAATTAAATAATGGAGGCTCTTTAGCCTCTGCTCTGCAATCACCTGTGACTTAGAATAGCACTTGGGTTTCTCATCAGTACAATAAGGGTGAGACTTTGATTGGGGGGTGCCCTGGAGTGATGGGGAAGCCAACCTGCTCCAGGCAAACAGGTTGACCTTGCATTCACTCACAATCCCTAAGAGTCTCTGCAAGTCTAATATGCTGTCTGTCCCAGGCCAATACCTAACAACATCCTTATGCCTGACAGATGCTTTTCTCTTAAGGGTCACATGTCCACTATTATATAACATGATTAGGTTACTGTTTCTTACAAAAAAGCATGTTACCTGATCAAGGTATGAAATACTTTGTTCAATATTCTCTTCTGTGCAGAAGGCACTGAAAAAACTGTGCACATTTTTTGATAAGGGTATTGAAGAACAGAGCACTTGCTGTGAGTATAAACTTGATGGAGACATCTTTGTTTCTGAGGTATATTGAGAAATATTTTTCTTTTCTGAAAGAATCAATGAAAGTCATTTATGTAAATAACTCATAAAAACCACATGCAAGGGTAACAATCCTCTATTACCAAAGATTCTAAATCACATACATATTTTTCAGTATTTTCAAATTAGGACAAAGCTTGTTTTGGTATGAAAACTACGTAATTTTTTCCAAAAAGACACAGTTATGTAGTGGTGCTCTTAGCAGCATGTCAGGATATAATATACCTCAATATACAGTACTTGTGATTCACATACCAACAAACTAAACCACTCATCTAGGCCAATCAAAGTTTATGTAATTAAAGGAATATATTAAGAGAAATAGCCAATGAATTTTTTTCAAAAGCATAAAAGTTTCCTTAGAATGAAAATCAAGCAATCTATTCTTTATCTAAAATTTTTAATCCCACTTATGACACTGACAATTTTACTGAAGGTAATATTGCAATTTACATCTACTATGCTTTTCTCTTATCACATCTTCAATGTTTATAGTTATTTTACAGTTTCACTAAAAATGCACTGTATGATGACTGTTGTAATTTACAATTATTTCAGACTCATCAGTTACCTGAAGACAGACCTGGATCTGTAACAGTCATCCAATCTCCCATAGCAATCGCCAGAGCCAGGATACCTGAGGAACCAGTTCAGCAGTGAAACATTTAGTCCAGCTGCTGTCACTCTTCTATGTAGGCATCTCCTAAAAGCAAAAATCATATAATTAAAAACATGAAAGTAAATACAAAACCAGTATGCAAGAATTAGTTGTACGTGTATCAAAGCAAGGATTTTGCATTATGTACTCCTATGCACTCCCACATAGAACATGGTAGAGAGCTCAATGTGTGTATGGGGGGGAAGGGTATCTGGGTGTGTGTCAGGATGAAGGTTAAAGGCTTCTCAAGTTATACCATGATATTCACAATTCTTCATGTACTAAGTACCTGGTATATAATAATATGACTGGCGATTTACTTCTAAGATACGTCAATGAACTAAGTAGTAAAAATGCCTACATTATATCTTGCAAAATAAAGTACAATCCTGATTTAACGTAGATTTCAAGATGAAAAACTTTTTGGCCAGCATTTCCATTGTTTGTTTTTACTATCATAACAAAAATTTCCTTTTTAATTACAATTTCCAGTGTTGGCACAGATGTAAGGAAATAAAAACTCCCTACACTACTTTCCAGTAAGACTACATCAGTTTCTGCTACTGCCAAGCAATGTGTCAAAAATCTTAAAAATGTAAATCTATTTTGATCCAAAAGTTTTACTTCTAAAATTTTATCTTAATGATTTGTATATGTAATCTACACATTTACAATATCAAAAAAGAGAAATAACTCACATGAAGAATTCATTTATAAATAATATAACACAAAATAACTTATAAATAACTTATGTAAGGCCAGAAATGCTTATGAATGGAGCAATTATAAGGAACACACAACCCTTTTAGTCTACCATTTATGTTTCTTACTCCTTTATAGAGATAATGGAAGAAATAAATATTTTTCATCATTACAAAACCAATTCAAATTATAATTATAAATGGTAATTGGAAATCGACTTCAAGGTCAGAGTAGAGTGAAGAGAGGTGAAGATTGCAGGCAAGCTGGAGACTACCATGCCAATAAGTCTGGACTGCAGCTTCTCAGCTACAAATAAATTGAGATTAAAAAAATGAAAGCAAGTCCTATGTTGCTACATCTTTCCATTTTGTAAGAGACATTGGAATTCTGGCTTCCTATATGAATTCCCCCCAAGTTTTAAATGTTAAAAGGAAATTTAAAAGGCTATACAAGTTATCATTCGGGAAGGGAGGGAGTTGCTGGGAGGGATATGAGAAAGTCCTTTATATCTAGATCTGCGAGGCAGCTCCGCAGGTATACACATTAGTGCAACTCATCAAGTTGCACACTTAAGATCTGTGCACTTGACTGGATGTAAGTTACACCTGAAACAATACTTTTTATCAAGTCCAATCAGTATGTTTTAGTCCAGACTAAAGACTGGACTTTGGACTGCAGACCAAGAGTTCATAAACACTGATATTTTATTAAGATTTGGGGAAATATCCAAAATATATGCAAAATGAGATGAAAATTTTCATTCATGCAAAAATTTTTTGGTTGTACTATTATGTGTCATTATTTTCTAAGCACAGGGGAGGCCCTGCTCTCAAGAAATCCATATTCTGGTGGTAGGAGAAATAGGTAAGAATCAAACAATAAATTAACAATACTCAGAGTGGTAAGAACTATTGATATAAAGAAAATAAAACACAGTAACACAAGAGCATATTAAGGCAAGGGGTGTCTAAATTAGTCAAGGAATACTGCACTGAGGTGCTGACAATTGAGCTCAGACCTGAGTCAGTCACCCCGAAGAGGAAACAACAGGTACAAAGACAAAAGGTGGAAATGAATTTAAGTACGAACAATACAAGGCCTGTACATTTGAAGCACAGTAAGCAATGAAAGTCTGTAGGAAGTTGGATTTTGTTTAAATTACAATGAAAAACTACTAAAGGGGTTTAAGCGGAAGACTACATGATTTCCTATAGGCCTTTAAAAAGATCACACTGGCTACTTTACTCTAAACAGACCGTAAGTGGGTACCAGAGGAGGCTGGAAGAAATGAGGCGACTGTGATAGCTCAGGTAAGATGACCGGTGATACACTAAGGCTCTAAGAGAAGAATCAAAACAGGTGGATAAATGCTGTATTCTGGGAATAGAAACCGTTACAATGCACAGATGGACTGAAATGTAGGCAAGAGAAACCAAAGATGATTCCCAAGTCATAGAGCAGCATTCAATATATATTAAAACACATGCCATTACATATCACATATTAGATGACACATGGAGAGGAGGGTAGGTTTATCCACAGTCTAACACTAATCTTTTGCCATTTTTCTACTCATGTAACTATTCTCCACTTCCCATTGTCCTTAAAATGAGTCCCTTCAGCGATTAGATGAACAGGTTGAAAAAGCTACAGACTCAATAGATTTAATAACTTCACTTTCGACTTTCAGGGAGAGCTGCTATAAACAAACCAGGATCCAAGGGAGAAAAAAATCCATCTATTCTTTTTTTTTTTTTTTTTAATTTATACAAGCGCTGGGTACAGTCAGAAGCGCGGGAGGGTGAGAGCCAGAGCGGGGAGCAGAGCAGGCAAAAGGACCGAAGTACACTGCTGAGGGGAGCAGCGGGCGGCAGGGACCCGTGGCCAGGGAGCAGCCGGGGATCGAACTGGCACTCTAGAGGATGCGGGCAGCTTCGCAACCCAGCGCTCAACTGCTGCGCCATCGGGGAGGCCCAAAAATCCATCTATTCTAACCCAGTTCTTTTGACTTACTTAACCTCTCTGAGCCCTAGCTTCTTGCTGGTAAATTGCCATAACAACAGTGTTTACTTCATAGTTCTCCCAGAGGACTAGATGAGATAATGCACATAAAGCATTTAGCACACCGCCTGGCATTTGGGACATACATACATAGTATTAGTTGTTATCATCATTACCATCATCTAAACACACAGATCTGACTGCTAGATATAAATGACAGGACTCTAAAGGCTATAACAACAGACACTGTTGCTCTTAGTAAAAGTTGATTACCAAGTTCTTAAAAGACATGGCGATGGGGTGGGGGATTATTCTGTGCCTTGAGTGTGGGCTTCATTTAGTGACTAGCTACTAACAAATAGAATACAAAAGTGAGAGGTTTCACATTCAAATTTAGGTTGTAGAAAGGCACTGGCTTCTGTCTGGGGTTGTATAGTACTCACTGTCTCTCAGATCTCTCTTTCTGGGGGAAAGCAAGCTGTCATGCTGGGAGCAGCCCTAGGACAGACAGGCTGCTGTGGCAAAGAAGAGTGAGTGTCCAGCCAGGAGCTAGTGAGGATGTGAGGCCTGCCTGGAGCCAGGAGGGAGTCTGAATAAAGACCTGCCCCCAGTCCAGCCTAGATGACAGCAGTCTGGGCCAACACGTGAAACCCACCTAGTGGGGAGACCCTGAGTCACAGACACCCAACTAAGCCACACCCAGATTCCTGATCCACAGAAATTGAAATATAAATACCTGTATTAAGCTGCTAACTTTTGGAGTAATCTGTTATGCAACAATAGATAACTACTAAGTATTAAAATATACATGCCTGAGTTCCTTCAATAATTTGTATTTCTCCTGCTAAAACTTAAGTAATACCATGCACTACAAGTGCAACTAATCATTTATGGCAGTATTATAATTAATCACTCCATATTATTATAGTTGTATTACCAGCCAATAATTTTGTACGGGGCAGGGATTGAATAAATTTTTGCATGCAAGTGTCCGTGAAACACAGCAAATGCTGAGTAAATGTCTGTAAAATGAACAATGTCCCACATGTGGCACTCTCCAGCCCGTGCGCTTTCTTCTCTCACCCACTCCAAAACTAATGCTTCTTCAAAGCCCAGCTCAACCAGCTGAAAGCCCAGCTCATGCCCAAATCACAGCCCACAAAACTTAAGTCCTCTAAAATTTCAAATACTTACTAGTTTGCTTCATCTTACCCAGTTTCCTGGTTTCCTAAGTACCACACATTTTCCATTTGTTTCTATATATACACTAATGTTAATAAACAGAAATATCAATAAGTACTCAAGAACATAACCATGACGAATTAACCTGTTCTTTCCAGCAAGCAAAAACAGGTAAAGGAAAACAGCCAGGGGAAAGATGCAAAAGATGTGAAAGATGAGTCCTTTAGAGAAAAGTATTACTATTCCTCATGCCCCAAATTTCTCCTAACACATTGCAAGTGAAAGAAAGCTCAGCAGAAACATAAGTAGTATCCTGATTACAAGATTTCCTTGACACAGACACTATTTAAAATGTTCTTTTCAAATTCACTTGAAATTCAAACTTGAGAAGGCACAATTGCCTACCTAATCAGAATTCTAAAACAAACTTCAATCAAGTGCCAGAAAATAATAGCTTTTCATTATACAGGAATGCAGTAACATTAAACCGTTTGTTTTTCTAAATACTGCATAGGATTTTTCACAAACTGGTAACTAAATTCTGTGCTAGAATTTCACAGAATTACTAAATTGTTGGGTTAAGAAAACCGTAATGTTAAAACTAAGTCTTTAAATTAGTCCCATCTTATAAACTCAGTTACAAAACTTAAGAATTGAATATCAAGATAATTTAACATATATTATTACTCTCAAAACTAAATTCATTGTGATTATTTTAAAGTCAATATCACCTTCTGCTTTAATTTTGTTCCAAAGAATATAGCTTTTAATTTTATTCCAACAAATACCTCTGTTAACCTTAAATAAAACCATTCAGGTGTACACATCAAGTATAGAAATAGCCTAAATTCAACCTCTTAGAAAATCTATTTTTTTACAAATTTAAAACTCTAAATTGCATAATTCAATAGTATTTTCATAAACTTTAATATATATCTCAGTAGCTAAAACCCAAAATCTGATACACCCTTCATCATCTGCCCCTTCCTGAATTTGTGGCTGTGAAGACTCAGAGTTGGAGAGCACAGTGCCAACAAAGTCAACCTCACAGGCCTGGGTCACGCACACTGGGACATATCCTGCCAAAGTCTCTCTCCCAGTCCATTTCCTCACCTGGACAACAGGGTGATACTATCTACTTCAAGGGTAGTTGTCGGTAT